AATCGTCAAAATGGCCCTGGTGAGAAACTACCTTTAGTCAATACTTTAGTTACGTCAATGACTAAAGTCAAAAGTTTTGTCATACATCATTAATGGTAGTCAATACAATTCCACATCAATTTCTTAAAAGAACTACTATCTTTAATCAATATCCTCTTGTACCACCTGGAAAACAACCACCACCTCAACTCAATGTCCAACTTTCACCTGTTCCTGAATAAACTGATACTTTTACTATGTCTAGAACATTAAGTCATCCCACCATCAAATTGACAGTATCTTTGTTGTATTTTTTGATCCTGTAGCTAAGATTACCGTAAGTAATCCAATTGTTGTGCCAATCAATCCTGGAATACCGTTTTCTCAAATAGTGGAGGTTCATGTACCAGCAAAGTTACCTAAATTCATACGGTATTGGAGTTACTGTTGAGGATATACAAGCTACGACTTCTTTAGGCTGTGCATATAATATTTGTTGGTGATGCTGCTAATCTGCAGATATTGACTTTTATCCCATCTCATTATAATAAAAATCAAATAGAATAATTTAATGGTTAGTTATTTTTTACAACGGATTCTACTCAATTTAATTAAATTTATATATTTTATTATTTTATATTGTCGCTGTCATCATATATATTTGTATGTTGATTTAAAACAAGCAAATTCGAAATATTTAAAATTTTATAATTCTTTATTCAGTATGAATAATCTCGGTAATTTCATATCCAATATCGCATGGCAATTTGAAAAATGTGAAAAAAGTGCTTTACATTTTCAATTATATTGTGAATTAAAAAGTTCATAAAGATCAAAAATGCGGGATCATATTGAGATAAGAAGCAATTGATTATTGTGTAAAAAAGAAGAGTCGATGGTTAGTGAAGATTGGGACCCAAAAAAGAAAAGATCAAAAAACTGACAAATTCAAGAAATCGAAAACTCTTTTCAAATAAATCCATATTAATATCCACATAGAAGATCTATCGTAAAATATTTTACCAGATATTGGAAAAACTTCATTTGTAAGGCATAATTTTGTTCATGTTCACTTTATTATAAAGATAGATTGGTTGTTTTTTATGGTTGGATAATTATTGAGGTTATTTGGTGAGAATACACAACGTCTTCTTGTCAGGGATTGTAAACATGGGTAATATAAAATTATATACAAATTATTACAATTTATTTATTTGACTCTTAAAATTATAAATTGTAAAAAAAAAATTATAACTCAATAAACAAATAAAACACAAGATATACAAGTCATCATTTAGAAATGGAAGAATTTCTCTTGATTCAATTATTAAAAATCTTGAAGATATAAATAAACAAGAAAATTTTTGCTAGTAGCATTAGCAATAGAAATATTATACTTTTGATTTATTAACAATTTCAACATAATAAATTTCCTCAATTATATACATATTATATTAATTCTTAATATGGGTGTAATATTGGTAAAAGATAGATAGTAATCAAAATAATTATTAATAATATGATTTTTACTTGATTAGATTTTATTCGGTTTTGGTCGTCCATCATTTGGTTTTGGTTATCTATCATTCGGTTTTGACCATCTCTAATCTTACTTGCAAAAAATTTAAATTTTTCTTCTATCGAATGGAGCCTTTCTTCTATGGTGATGAATCTTGCTTCAATAATACTATCTTTTGGTATAAACGCGGGGAGGTCTTGACGTAGATCGTATATATTTGAGAGCAAAATTTTATATTCTGATGTTTCCTTTCTTTGTATTGCTGGATTAGAATAACCATCTTTGAGAGATGTAACGAAAATCCCTAAAGTATATTCAGGGTACCTTGATAGCACACCTTCAAAATCGCGAATTTCCTTGACTTCTACTTTTTATTCGAGTAATTTTTACATTGTACAATTAACAAGTACAATTTATAATTTCCCACAATGTCCACACCACCATCACCCTGTGAAATCCTACATAATAAAATAAAGTATTTATGAGCAAATATTATCATTGTCATCAAGGTAAATACATAGGAACCAAGTACGAGCATTTATAATACACACATCCTATTCATCACAACTTATGGAGTCTCACCAATAAGCTTTCGGTTACAGAGCAAATAGAGAAGGACGTTCACCAGTACGATTACTTGGCTCTAATAACCTGACTCGGTGGCCACGTGGAGCTTCCAGTTCTCTATTTGTCGTGCTTCCTAGTGACAGCGTAACTTCAGATGCATAATGACTAAACAATCACTCAGTGAGATAACCCACCTTACTCGTTTACAATCAACCTTCATACTTGTAAGTACTCGAGAAACTTTCTTTTCAAAATCGTTTCCTTTTGCAAAAGCAGAATTGTTCATATTGTTATAAGGTAATTTTTGAGGTTAAAGATTTGTTTTTACTTACCTGTTTATATATATATATAAATCTAAGCGACAATGTGTTTAATATCCTAAAATGTGAATAACCCACCTTATTTATTACTTTAGATTTCTTGGCTGACGTCAATCAGATTACATAAAAAAAATCGGTTGAGTAACCTTTGATTGATTGATAACATCAATGTCACAGTAAAATTACACACAGTCAAAGCTCATTAAATTCATATTCAATAAATTCATAATTGCCTAAATTCATAATTTTTTCAGGAACCAATGCCACTTATATTAAAATCCTATTCGATAATTTCATAATCATAATAAAATCTCGATAATAAAGTCATACCTCCATTACTATTTATTATATGCCATCATATAATAAATCTCGCTCTTTAATTTCATATCTTGTGTAACCATTAAAATATGGATTACATAACCATTAAAATATTGACTATTTTACATAAGTAATAATTCGATTTTTTGGATAAATCATCAAGTCACATTATTTTAAGAACTTTATTAACCATTGAAAAAATGAATTCAAACTTTCAAATTAAGCATAGAATTACAGATGATAATGAAGTTTCAATTGACAAAAAAAGAACAAAAAACAACTTATCTTTTCTTGAAAAATGTAGAATTTGTGAACAGCTTTTAGTTAAACCAAAACCGCTTCTTCAATTTCAGGAAATGCAGCTTGGCGATTTCTTTCTTTATTTAAGTCTGTTGTTTCTGAATCTAAAGCAAGATATTTATCCTTATTTTTAAAAATTTTAGAGATTGCTGTTTGAGTGACATTATTATACTTAGCTGCTAATTCTTCTTGTGTTAAATACTTTGTCTACTTTTCGGAAATTTCATTCACAATTATTTAAATTCCATTTAGATAGCTTGAAGCAATCAACCATGGATGATTTTTTTACAAATGAATAATGAATTGTTTTGGTATTTTTATTATTTGTTAATTATTAACAAGTTTTGCAATCGAGGATGTGCAAGTGAGCAGAGACTGTTCTGGGAACACAAAATTTTAACCCACGCAATTTGGTGATTGACCAATTAAAATCGTGAATTTGATAACGTATAAATAAATATGGGTTTGATTCATTTTGTCAACAATCCAATTATTTCGTTAACAAATGGTTCGAATTTAAGAGGTTGGAAGCAACCATGCGACAAACCATTGAAACAGTCTAATAAATTAAATCGTACTACTCGAAAATGCATTTAAAGGGTTGGTTTTTGACTTGGTTGAAGAATAACTCTCTTCCTAACTCTTCTCTCTCGATATAATCAAAATAACCTTAACATAACAAATGTCAATGAAATGATCGCAAACACAACGAAACTAAGATACATGATCGAGACGAAAAATGAACAACGCATGAAAAATCAAACAAATGTTACATAAAACAACATCTTCTGTCCACGTTACCTTCATTAAGTTGTTGTTCTCAGCTTCTTTCCATTTATTGCCTTTCAGTTGACGAAATTTAGCTGATTTGGTGGTTTTACATTCCATGCAACGTTTAATTTCAGACATTTTTTCTTCGAGCAAATCGTATTATGAAAGCTGTGAGATTCAAATTTGTGTAATTATATACACATGATTTATTGCTACGTAATACCCTTGTAAAAGTATTTTAAACTGTATAAAAAAAATTGAAATCAAATTGTGAAAATTCATTCCTTATATAGAACGGTCTCCTGTTCAAGTGAGCTGTGGAAAAAAAAAATCAAATGACGCACATTGATCGATGGCATTTTTTCAGAAAAAAAAAGTCAAAGATAAAGAAAAGATAAGCCAAAGTATTATTGTGTTATTTTTTATTTATCGTTTTATCGAAAAGAGAGTCATTCAATTGAAAAGAATTTTGCTCGATCGATAATTACAAACAGTTTATATATCAATCAAAAAAATTACTAACTCACTTAAAGGGAAGAAGGATCACAATCAAAAATCACAATCGAAAAAAATGACTAATTCGCGAACGGAACAAAAACTTTCCAACGGCACATTCATTCATTGACCAAATGTGATTTTTATTACGCGACGACTGTATTTACTTAATAATCATACACTTTAGTACTAGCGTAATTTTTGTTTGTTGTATATATATAGATAGACTACTTTGTTTGCGACATAAACAAACAATTTATTTTTTATTATTTAGATTTTACCTTATTTTATTATTGTACGTTATTTTAGTTCTTATCGCACTCATTCGGTTAATGATTATTTCTGGGGTTAGTTGATCAACGGGGTAGACCGCGGCAAACAAAAGAAAAGAAACCTCTCCGATAGATGGACGTGGTAGATAAAAAATAAAAAAAAATAAAAAAATAAACCAAAAGATAAGGAAAGATCAAAATTTTTTTTAACATCAAATGAACGAATAGTGAAAAATAATTAGATTTAGTAAACTAATAAATAATGGGAATTGTTATTCGCACCCCCATTTTTGTTATTTGCACCACTCCCGTGACTAAGACAAAGATGAACCAATAAAATCATCATATTTTAAAGCCATTCATTGGTCGCTTACTACACTTAGTCACGGGAGGGGTGCGAATAACAAAAATGGGAGGTGCGAATAACATAGCGGGTATTCAATTTTAAGAAATGATCGGCATTAATTACACTACATATGTTTCATATACAAGCTGACCGCCATCTGACTTTAACTCGACTTTGAGTCACCAAAATCAATTTTGCGACAATAACAACAACATATGGGGACTGTTCTAGGAAAACACGGGTTAGAGCTCCCAGATTCAAAAATGAGAAATTTATACCAAATTAATCTATAA